CCTGGTAGAAATTAAATTCAGTTAGTAAATCTGGAATTGAAAGCTAATCGCAGTAACGGTAACCATGAAACTGATCATTGTTGTACAAACAAATCGTTTTCCCTAATGTCCCTTTTGTTTTAAGGGAAGGAAATCTGCTATCCTTACTCTGTATTGCCTATATGTGACTTCAAATCCATAACAATGTGGATTATTCTTAACTGCCTTCTGAAATGGTCTAGTGTGCCACTCAATTCAAAGGCAATTAGGAATCACCAGTGAATGTTGGTCTTGCTAGCAGTAACCATGAAGGAGTGTTTTAATATAAAAATCATTAGCATAGGAGATCTTGAGCAGAGTGCTGATATGTTGGCTGAACACCATTCATTGAGCAACTGATTGTTTGCAATTTAGAAATGCAGGTATTTTGTCACAGTAATTCGTATTGAACCAAAATACCTGTGGACGGTGTGAATTTTCTGTATCAAAGTTTGTCATTTCAGTTTGACGAATTTCCTTGACTGACAGAAAATGGGGTTATTCTTTTTTAAAAAAAAAACTGATCTTTTTTAGCATTCTGAAAGAAAGCCTGCAATATTTCATAACTAGTGCATCAAAGTCATACAAAATGTCTCGAGACTGCGCTGAGGTGCAGGTGAAGTAGAATGCAGAACCATATAGCAAACAAACAATGGAAGATGAAAATGAATAGGGTTCTGGTAAAACTATACTTTGAGCACTATGTCCAACTCCAGTCAACAACTTGAAAAAGTGGCATTCATGCCAATACAAGAGCCAAAGGGCTATTCCCAATTGGTGAAGAATTGAGTATGAAAAAGACAGGAGGACCTTGGCCTCTCGCCCCTGAAGTGACCTCAACTCGTGAAATAGTATTGTAAAACAAATCTGGGCATTCTGTAAAAATTAAAACAGGAGGGCTGATTTGAGTTAAAGGTAATTGTAGGTGGATTCTCAGGACTTTTATATAAAAGGAAGATCAATGTATGAAACAATTGCAGGCAGAAAATAGAAATGAATAAGCAGAAAAGAAGTTAAGACCTTGAAGTTATTTGAATAATAAATGGATACCTGGATGGGAGAACTGGTTTTTCTGGATGGCTTTTGTGAATCTTTATCTTTGGATTAAAATTTTAGTTTCTCTTGAATTATATGGTTTCATTTTCAAGTCCTTGCTGGGGGTGTGAAGAGAAAATTGAAGAAGATTTAATCAAAGAACCAAGAGAATTAACTGTTCTGGTGAAGAGTTGAAACATTCAACTCTTTGAGTTAACTCTTCTTTCAGATGCTGCCAGACCTGCTGAGTTTCTCCAATAATTTGCTTTTGTTTCAGATTTCCAGCATCTGCAGTTCTAAGTTAATTCCCAGAAAAACCCAGAATGCCTCCGCATTTACTATTAGCTGCATTAAGCCTGTTAAACCCCTCCAGCATGCCTGATCTTACCAATCAGCAATGAGTTCTCTCATCAGCGGCTGCTAATCGAACACTATTGAGCCGGAAAAGGTTGGGAGGGCAAGGTAGGCCTGGGCGATGACTGACTAAGCTGTATAATTTGTGTAGTTTGGCTATCTTTCTCTGCTTTTACAGCTTAACTGAATTTTATTAGTCAAGTTGAATGCCACCTTGGGCATCTTTTCAGTAAATGTACAATAAATACTGGGGACAGTAATTGGTGGTAAACTAATATAGGACATTAATTGGAGTAGTGAGCTAGTTTGATCTTAGGCTAGAAAGTAGACTTCTGATTTTGTCCTAATATTTAACGTATTGATTCAATTTTGCAATGTAACTTCATTACTGATGTATATGCCAAATGTTAATGCATTTTCTGGTGTTCAAAGTCAGTTGGGGCTCGTTATTGTTGGTATTTGAAAGGCACAGTTGATGGAGAAAGATCATTATTCAACCCACATTCTGATGCTGAATCGTCAAAATTAGATTTGTGATTGCCATTCGGATTGCCAATGGGAATAACCAAAATGGAATCAGTTTCATCAAGTTAGCTCATGGTGATATCCGGTGCTGCTAGCTAAAATTTCATTTGCTTCAGTTTCAGCTAAAGAAACAAAGTGCTTGCATTTAAATTGTGCATTTGTGTCTCCAGGAGATACTACAAAGTGTAGTCGTAGCAACTGTTACAGTTAAAGCATTAAGATACGTTTTTCAGCTGATCTGTGAAATCACTCAAGAATAAGTGCTGCCAAGGCACCTGGCAACATTTTCTGCTCTTGGAATAGTGACACATATATGTTGAGAGGGCACGTGGGTTTGTTTTAATAACCCATCTGAAAGATGACATCTTTGACAGTGCAACACTGCCTCTATACGGGGGCTAAAATCAGCCTGAAACACATTTTGCTACTTTGCCCAAACAGCCTGTTAAATTCACTTGGGACATGAAACCAGGGAATTTACTGCTAAATCTAGAAATTCACCCTGACAAATGAGACAATTTTAATGCACTGATTTCTGAACTAGTTGTAAATGAATGTTTCATAAGTTGCAAAATTGAAGAATTAATTTCATAAGCCATAAAACATGTATTACTGCAACTGGGCCTGTTCAGTACAGTGTGCAATTTAATATCCGGTTCTACCTTCAAACTTGGTAAATTGATTTTCTTCTTTGTCCATAAACAAAAGGACAGCCCCCTACTTTGGCAATGTTGAGAAGGCAATCCAGGAATCTCTTAGAAATAATGGTGCCAAAGGTTTATAGTATGTCAGGCATTACAATTCAGAAGGTTTCCACTAAATTACAATTTTATTTAAGAACATTGAAGTAAAAGAATGGCATCACTTCTTGATGGAACTGTTGAAGAATGATATGCAATTGAACAGCTTAAGTTAGAAGTCCCCAATTTAGTTACCACCAATTCAAATGTCATGACATTGTGCTTTTGTCTACCCCAGGGGGGGCTTTTGCAAAATTCTGTTCACCTGATTTTTTTAATTTTGTGGAAAAGTCTCTACATTTTATTCTTGACGTTAATAAACTTGGCTATTGGCTATTCCCTTTTGAATGGATGCAATCCTATGTGACTAAGGCAATCATTTTAATTTGGCAACAAAGCATTTCTGTTGTCAGTTAAGTTTAGTGACATCAGAGGCAAATGTAATATTCTATTGTCCTTGATTAATTTTATGGCAGTTATGGTGATAGGGATGCTTCGCCTGGGCTATCTGAGTTATTATGGTAATCTTTACTGTCAAGAAAAGATAGCACTGTCTCTATCTAGGCATTGAAAATGAAATACCAGAAGATGCCTGGCTCTCGAGGATCAGTGCATCAGTGAGTTAGTACTTAACATGATGGAGATGGGGTAGTTGACTGGAAAAGTAAGCTTGCTGTTCGATTATTTTATTCACTAACCCTGCTGCTGTTGTGAATTTCAGATACCCTTGCTTAAGTAGAAGCCAGAGGAAGAGATTGAGAAACAAATGAGGAAGTTCAGTATAGCACTATTTGAGATGAGATCAGAAAGCCACCTGTCTAGTTCTGAGTTCAGTTTAGTATTTACCCACTAACTAATCTAGATTCAGATCTTCACTTTCACACTTCCATCTTCCTTGAGAGAATCTTGTTCTGTTGAATACTATTGATTGCTTGTGTTCTTAGCCAGTACGTTTCTGTTTCCTCAGGATCCATCAGTGACTCAGCTGACGAATGCCAACCAGCAAGGTATTGATGACTTCAATCCATTCACTGAAAACTCCAGGCTGGTAAGTTTGATTGCTACATCGTAATCTTTGCTCTGAGCCAAAAAGCAAACTTCAGCACTCCTTATATGTCTTGGGCTGCACCCAGACTGAAAAAATATGTACAGAATGCTCGAGTTCTACTTCAGAGACAGGAAGGAAATGATAGTATTGATTGAATTTATTGTCACATGTACCTAAGTACAGTGAAAAACTTTGTTTACAAGCAGATCATAGTAAGCAAGGATGTATAATCAGAGGTTGTAAAAAGATTAAGACAGAGGCACACAGGTTACATTGCACAAGCCATGCGTTAGGCGTGATCAATGTTAGCAAAATCAGCATTATTTGAGGCTAGAGAGTCCATTCATCAGTCTAATAACGGTTCGGAAGAAGCCATTCTTGAACCTGCTGGTGCGTGTTCAGGCTTCTATATCTTCTGCCTGACGGAAGTAGTTGTAGGAGATCATTACTGCGGTCTTTGTCGGCAGCCTTTCCACGGCAGCGAGCTGTGTAAATGGAGTCCAGTGTGTTCTCTGCTTTGCAGCCAAGAAAAATTGTTAACCGTTTGAGCTTTTGGTCCTAACTGGGTTGAAGTAGTAGTTTCAGAAGGTTATATTGCTTTACTATAAATGCAGATGATTGGTTAGATGAGTAACTAAGGCAACATTGAAAACGTAGCAGACAGTTAGCTGTCGAAATGTTGCTTGTATAATTTTGGTCCGCTGAAAATTCCTCTCAAAAGAGATTTTGCTTTGTGATTTATTAACATGTCAGCTTTTATTTTAACACACTACTTATTTGTAGAAAGATGTGATTTAGTGTGAAATATTTTTGCATGGGACTGTTTTGGGATTTGCTTTATTGGCAGTTTCATTTTAAATGCCTACTTTATAGTTTAATTTAGTGCAATAATAAAAGTTACCAGCATACACAAATGGCTGTGCCGGATTTCATCAGAGGAAATGTGAAGAATAGCCAGAAATAATATATTAGCTATTGGGAACCAGTTATTTCAGATCTGCATTATTCAGACATTATGAACAGTAAATGTAATATAAGTTGTTTTCTTCTGATTTTCACTCTACTCCTCACTGAGGTATCAACCCCAACTGGCATTGACTTTAACCCATTGACTTGTCACCTCACCTAAGTGGGCTGATAGTGAAGGTAGGAATCAAATGCACCTAAACCTGACATGGTTACGACCTGATATCCGTGTATTCCCAGCAGAGATCACTTGATAAGGATCAGTAATGTATGATTTTTTTTTTCCTTCCTTGGCTATGTGCCTTGGACTAATGAGAGGATCCCTAGTATCACTTTGCTTTAAGAGTGAATTTTTTAAAACTCATTCATAGCATGTGGGCATCACTGGCTGGTCAGCATTTTTACTTATCCCTAGTTGCCCTTGAGAAGGTGGTCATGAGCTGTCGTCTTGAACCACTGCAGTCCAGGTGTTATAAGTAGATACACAATGCCTTTAGGGAGGGAATTCCAGGATTTTTGACCCAGTGACACTGAAGGAACAGGCTATATTTCCAAGCCAGGAGAATTTGCAGATGGGGGTGTTCTCATGTTTCTGCTGCCCTCCTTCTAGAACAGTGGTTGTGGAAGATGTTGTCTAAGATTCCTTAGTGAATTTCTCTAGTGCTTCTTGTCGGTGATACACACTGCTACTGCACATGGAGAGAGTGGATGTTTGTGGATGTAGTGCCAATCAAATTGGCTACTTTGACTTGGATAGTGTCAAGCCGCTATCGGCGCTCCATTCACCTGGGGAGCGTTCCATCACTCCTGACATTTTTTAATTCATTCCCTGGATGAGGGCATCACTGGCCGTGCCAGCATTTATTGACCATCCCAGAGTCAACTACATTGCTGTGGCTCTGGAGTCACATGTAAGCCAGACCAGGTAAGGATGACAGTTTCCTTCCCTAAAGGGCATCAGTGAACCCAGATATCCAGGTTTTGTGGACAATTGACAGTGATATCGTGGTCATCATTGGACTCTTTTTAATTCCATGTTTTTATTGAATGCATTGGTGGGATTTGAACCTGGTTACCCAGAACATTACCTGGGTCTTTGGATTAACAGTCCAGCAACAATACTACTAGGCTATTGCTCCTCGCGTGTCTTGTCTCATGTGCCTCCCTGCTTGTGCCTTGTAGATGGTGGACAAGCTTTAGAAAGCCAGGCAGCAAATTATTCGCTGTAGCATTCCTAACCTCTGACTTATGCTTGTAGTCAATTAATTTATATGGTGGGCTCAATTAGGTTTCTGCCAATGGTAAACACCGCCACCACCACAAACACCCCCCCAGCAAAAAATAGGAAAAACCAAGGATGTTGATACTAGGAGAATCAGTTATGATAACCCAGTTGAATTTCAAAGGGCAGTCTTATTGGAGATGGTCATTGCTTTGCATTGTGTGGCACGAATGTAACTTGCCATTTTTCAGCCCAAATCTGGATATTGTCCAGATCTTCGTGTGTTTGAACACATTGCTTCAGTATCTGAGGTGTGTCAGGTTCTGAACGTAGCGCAATCATCAGCAAATACCCCCAGTTCTGACTGGTGATGGTACAGACATGATTTTGAAGACCCATTAGCTGATTTCTCCTATTTTTTTTACAGTACTATCTAAGATGTAAACTTAAAATCAGAAGAATAAGTTTTTAGTATATCTTACCTTGCTGTATAACGTAGAGCTCTGTTTGTTGCATGCAAGCTGTAATTCACTTGAATATTACTAGTTTGCAAATAACTTAGTTAAGGCTGTGATGCTATAAATCTAACCTTAACTAAATGTTGGATAATTGTTCTGAACAGTGACTGATGATGGTCACATCTTTGTTTGTATTGAAACATGATCTAAACTGATTACAAGTTGTAGATTTTGTTTTAAATTGTCATTGGGATAAACCAAAAATGAAATGGTTTTTCTAATTGGGGGCTGGTATCTGTGGGACACCTGAATAGCTAAATTAGGTATCTCTCATTAAATTCTTAGAGATAGTAGGAACTGCCGATGCTGGAGAATCTGAGATAACACGGTGTAGAGCTGGATGAACACAGCAGGCCAAGCAGCATCGGAGGAGCAGGAAAGCTGAC